TGGGCTGGGAGACAGCATGCTGGACCAATCTTTCTTTTTCTTTCAGATGACAGAGAAGAGGGGAAAGGAAAGCAAAACTGCATTTGGAGGCCCAGTTGTCAGCTCATTATATCAAGAAGAAACAATCAGGTGATTATCTGCACTGGATAATACAGTTAAAACCAGTATTTTTCTATTTTTCTAATTTAATTTTGTTAAGCCCTTTTTTTTCTTTTTTTTCTTTTTTTTTTTTATATTGCACAAGCGTGGTGGCAACTACAACAGGATAATAAATGACAGGAAAGAACTTTTCAGGTCCATAACCATTTAAATCAATAACTGCCTGTATCATTGCCAGGTAGTAACCTTTCCCTAGCACAAGATGTGGAGGAAGGGCAAGATTTCCCATTTTTCAGTTATATGGCTAAAAAAGGTAATATTGGATATTTTTAATAGAAAGCTATTTAGACACTATCTTTTTCAAATAGTTATTTCTTTACCAATACATTCATTAAAGATTGTTCAGTGAAGATTTTAATGTTGGACAGTGTTTGCCTTCAGGGAGAGTTTGTACCTTATATCAAATTAATTCTTTCTAGCTTCTGCAGCTAGCATAGCAGAAATGCATTTACTGAACTAGAATGGCTGCTATTTAAAAACTGTCAAAGTGCAAGTAGTAAGTGACTTTAGCTACTGAATAAAGACAGCTGGGTGTTTTGTTTGGCTGGTTTTTTTGCTCTTCCAGACTACTAATCATGGGTATAATATTAACTCCAATACCTAAATGCCTGGAAAGGATCTTTCAGAATAGTGTTTTTAGTTAAAATGAACAGTCAAGGAAGAGTAAATTTTTGAGCAGCGTTTGCTGTCGTGTTGCAGTCACCCATTTATGTGTATGTGATGCCATTTGTTTTATTGAATGTCTCGCATCATTTTAGTCCCAGGAAATTAAAAGATAAACACTGATTCCTATAAACAAACAAGATAAACACAGCCTCCCAAGCTTGCTAGATCTTTCCCAAAGTATTAAATCTCTAACGCAGCAGTTCTGTGACTTGTTGTCACAAACTAATGAAAAATAAATCTTGAGAAGGTGGCTCCAAACCCTTTGCAAGCTCAGGTAGAAATTGATACGGGTGTTGCATGTAAGCAAATAGAATGGCAGTTTTGTGCTCAGCAGTAGCATGGGCACTTACCTTTGTTACAGTCCACTTTCTAGTGAGGTGGAGCAGTTGGCCAGGAGTAGCCTTCTCTGCCTTGCATGGAGAGCCAATGCATTTTTTAACTTGCCCCTGGACCTTGACCAGAGGTACTCGGATATGACCCTGGTTTAACAAGCTGTGTGGTGAATAGCACTTCTGCTAGCCACAAGCTCCTTTTTCTTCCCTGCTCTGTCAATGTATGTCTCAGCCAACATCCTTGTTGACAGTTTGTGACCTTGTGGTTTAAATCCTGTTTGAGCTCTTCTTTTAGGAGTAGAGCATATCAGTGCTGCCCAGTGTTGGGTGTGAAGTATGAGCTGTGCTTAGTCCTACAGTAGTTTGAGTCTTGGCTATCCCAAGTACTGCCTGTGCCCCTTCTTGAGTGTGAAATACAGCACAATATACTGCAAAGCAGAGTTTGTTCTGATAGGCTTGACTAGTCTAAATTTTGTCAAATTTTTGTTTTTATTTCCATGAGAACATGACTTCTGCAGGTCTTGAAAATAAGTAGAGCTCCAAATATTTTTTTCTCAAGCATGCTGTGAGAACATACATGCTGTATGTTCAGTATAGCATAGTTGCAGCCTTTACAAAATGAGGCTATAGGCAGATGTAGTCTCTGACACAGATAGAATAGGGTGATTGTGCTAAAAGTGAATTAACTGAAGTCTCCTAACTGCTGTCAGAATGTGGAAGCTTATGTAGTCTGTTAGCACAGCTTGGTTCATAGGGTACAGTGCCTTCAGTTGCAAGATAGGAAGCGAGTAAGTGCTCACCCATGTGCAGCTTGTACAGATTCAACTTTCTCAGAGTTGCCAATGTACTATGGCTTTTGTCTACTGTTCATTCGCTTACTGGAACAGGAAATATATGCGTGCAGCCACATCTCTAATGGTGATAAGTATAATAGTAAAAGCACAGTCCTAACAGCAAAATTGCCCTGGTACCAAATCTGCAAGCAGATGAGCCAGAGAAGGGTGACTTCAGACCTTGTTTGACATCCAAGGTTATTCTAGAGCAGGGGGTGATTTGGTTTGATAGTAATATTGCTCACCTGAGAAGGGTGACTTTTACTGAGGCTGTCCGTGGCTACTTACAAGAGCATAAAGTTAGCATTCAGTAATACTTCAGTGCATTTGTAAATAGAATGCAGTCTTTGGAAAATGCATTATTTTTTCTAGAGGAAGAAAATGAAAATGTTTAAGAGGAAAGAAAACTTAATAGCTTAAATACATATACTTAAATACATTAATACTTGCAGGTAAGTCCCGTGCTGTAAGTTCAGTGTGCATTGTGTATGCTACCTTAAAAGCTAAGATCTGAGAAGAACTCAGATGGAGGCTATTTTATTGACTCAGTTGTCTGTTGGACCTACTGAAGCTATACAACAGGCTTACAAAAATTGAGATACAAGGCAAAGCACTTTAGTCTCTGTTTCCCAGGGCTGTTGATAGGATAAATATTTTTTAATTACAGGATCATAATAAGGAAGCCCAGAATAAGAAAAAAACAAACAACCCTGTATTTTATATATTAAAAATGAAAACTCAAGTCCTCATCAGTCCCTGGGTACTGACAGACTGCTGAAAGCAGTTTCTCAGGCATTATCCTGCCAAATACAGCCTACCACACGCCCTTTAAGATTCTGCTGATGCAAAGGCAGGAAAAGGCTGTTTACTTTATCTGGATCCTTAGAACCTCACCTTGCACTGGGACATAGACAAGAGTGCAAGTGTGGGGTTTTGAAGGTTCACTTATTTTATTCTTGCCAGAAGCTTTTGAACAGTTTGTCAAACAATTAATATGCTCTAATCTGCTGCTATGTAATAGAGACATGAGAGATTTTGTTTTAAATGGTGTAAATCACTAGTTTACCCTCAGCAGTAAATAACCAAGCAAAGCAGGAATGCCACTGCTTTCAAACTGAGTGTCTAAAATTATGTATAAATAATGCTTACATTCCTTTTATGAAATGAAATACTTTGGGTTTAGGATGCAAATCTGTGCATGTTGGACAAAGTGGAGTTAACCATACCCTACTCTGAAGTCAGGTGGATCAGAAATAGGAGGAACTGGGATTATGCCAGGGCTGATTTTGCTTTATCACTAATCTCAAATGTTTCTGTTTTGAGAACAAGATAGAAAAATGGTCTGTCTGGCTCACAGAAGTACAGCACTGTGATTCCAAATAATTGCACTGATTCCAAATAAATTCAAGAGCATCCAAAAAAACAGGTTATACTGATCTAATTAAATCAATTTAGAAAGAGAACTGGTTAAATCAGTGCAATCTGTGTATTTGGAGATCAATCTTCACATCCAGAGGTCTCTTGAGCTAATGAGGCATAGCAGTTATTTACTTTGGGGTGCTGGTCCCTGGTCATCAATTAGGGGTCATTAATAAACCCTGGCAATAAAGAGCTCAAGTACCCCCAGTGACTAATAGGGAGCAGTTGCAGAATATTAGCATAGTGCTCTGCCTCTGTGTTTCTCTGCAAATCACTTATCTCACTTCAGGCATTACACAAAAATAATGCATGATGGTGACTGATGATGGGACTTGGAGGTTCCCCTGGAAGGGAGAATGCAAAAATTATCTGCAGTTTCAGGCTGGGTGTAGTGGTAGGGTTTTTACTGCTGCCTAAAGCTTTGTCTCTTTTTTGGTGTTATTACCAGAACAAAAGCAGTAGTAGTTGAGCTCCTTCATGATCACATAGCTATAATTAGTTTCACAAACCTGAGAAATGAGCAGTGAGATGAGGTTGACTGACGTGTCACCAATATAAATCTAATCTAAGACACAAACAGGGAGATGCCAAAAATACCATGGCATTGGAAATTCAACTTTACTTTGCAGCATTTTTTTTTTTTAAGTGGGGGCAAGGGCAAGGCAGTTTGTGTTTCCAGCACATGAAAGCATTGACTTGCCAGATGGAGAATGCAAAAATATGTTGCAAAATGTCTGTCCGTTTCCTCTAGAGGAGCCCTCCTGCACCCTGCCATGGGCTGCTCCCACGTGGCTCCAGCATGCTAGCTTGGGGATGACATCCACTGCTTGGCATGGAGGTTTCCCTGAGCTATCTTTTACACTTCTGCCATCCCAAAAGATGTTGTAGAAACCCTTGTCTGGTAGAAACTTCCACCCTTACCTGTAACATTTAGGAATGACCCCAGTTGCAAGTGGGGCTCTGTTTAAGCTCACAGTGTGGAGCAGGCACCCCTCATTTGGGAGCCCGTCTGATGCTGTGTAATCTATCAGAATGGTATTAATCCCACTAACGCAGCCGCCATCTGGCCCTGCTGCTGGGCCGGCTCGTGCGAGCCCCTGTGATGGATGGCCTTGGGAATTGATTAGTTGTTGTGCGAGACAAATGAACTGTTTTGGCAGAAAATACCAGAGGTCGCTGCGTGTGGTCAGGCACAAAGGCTGCTGAATTTTAAAGAGCTGCTTCCAGCATCCATTGCAGGGATGCCACTTTGGAGTTGTGATGGCTTTTGAGACAAGCCCAGCACTCTGGAGCATGGTTTGGGTTTTGTTCTCTCCCTCTAACCCTGCTTTCAGGAACACCGGCACTGGAAATGAGCACAAAGCTGCAGTGGTGCAGGAGCCAGAATCCTTGCTGTGTTGGGAATTACAGGCTCGTGCTAGTATTATGTGCGTGTTTGGGTGGCCATGCTGCAGATGTCTTGTTCACATAGATGCTAGGCTGGCAATCCCTTCGGAAGAGCTTTCCTGGTTGTGCAGCCTGCAGTGTGCTCAGCCCTGGCATATCTCAAACAAAACGCCTCCAGGTCCAAGCAGCTGGGGTTTGGGTTTTTTCAGGTCAGTGTCATTAAGAAATGGATGCTCTTCTGGTGATGTTAAGTGGGCAAGTCTCTGACTTCAAGATGATTGCCAAGTTTATTGCTTCCCTCCCTTTTTATTGTCCCTGGAGTGGTGACCCTTGGGGCTTTGCTTTGTTGTGGAAAGGGGCAGCTTGTCTGCTCAGGCCTGCCTTCCCTTTGGGAGAGTGAATCCTTCAGTGGTGGCTCCTTTTTAGGGTTTTCACTTCAGCCTCCTCTCCAGTGCTGCCACTAATCTAACAAAGTACGTGTGGCGGTGTAGCGACTGGTGGGGAATTGGATGACACATGTCTCGCTATGTCCTGGCCGCTCTCAGAGGACACCACGCGAGTGTGCCAGCAAGTGGACAACACTTCCCCTGAGACAGCCTGCCGGATCAAAATAAACTTGAGTTATGGATTTATTCAGCTTCTAATACCTCAGCTGGCATAAATAATTGAGAAAGCAAAGGTTTGTCTGTGGTGCATACCTCAGGGACCCACTCCTGTCTTCCTCCCTCCCACCACCCTTTCTTATGAAAATGATCCCAGTTGCACTGATAGATAATAACAACACCAAGCAATTAAAAGCTATGGGTGGCTGGAGAGAGGAGAAAAGGTTCAGTTAATGAGCTTTTCCTCTTCCTGTGCCCAGGAGAGCCTCAGAAGTGAGGAGGTGATTAAAGCAAAGAGATAATTATAGATTATGTGAAATGGGTCCCTTGGGGGCCAAGGGCCTTGACAAAAACAGTAAGTGTTTCGAGTGTCTCTCTGCTCCCCACATGCTGTGTTCCGCTCCGCCGCACTCCCACTTGCTCAGCAGCACCTTGCCAAGCAGATGGGAGAAGCCACCTGTTAGCAGCACCCGGGGCCACTCCAGAGCGGGTCCACTGGGACGTGGCTTGGACCAGCCCCAGGAAAAGGGGAGAGGATGCCCAAAGTAGCACCCAATCACAGCCCTCTGTGCTGGAGGTAACCTGCAAGGGGGGAGGAAGGGCATGGGGCAAACCTGGAGGATGCTGTCTGTGTGAGCGTAGAATACCTGAATACCAGGTCTCTTCTGTGCTGTTTTTCCTGGTAGTCTTGGTGGCTGTTTAGAAAGTAAGGAGGTTTACAGCACTCAAGGTGCAGAAGTGAAGCCTGGTTATCCAGCAACAGATCTTTTCTGTGAGATGTTTAAAAACTGTTGGCTCACCAAGTGTTTTTTAGGCTTAAGCTTTGCAAGCTTGGAAGAAGATGACTTTGTTTAAATTCTTCCACATACTTTTATTCAAGGACGAAGAAAGTTGCCCATGTATTACCTGCAGGCAACAGATATGTTTCAGCTCAGTGTCAAATCAGAGCTAGCATTTCTTACTGGGGATGAGGGAAAGCAGAAGAAAATAGCCTGGAGGGGGGTTGAACATGAGTCAGCAGGGAGGAGAGAAACCCTTCTGGCCATCTTCAGGAAATAGATGTAAACGTATTCCCTGCCTTTACTGACAGTCAAGTGGTCTTGACTCCTTTTAAGCTCAACAAAAAGAGCCAGTGCTTGTATATCACACACTCTGACATGGAAACAAAATTGCATCTGAGTCTTTCTTTCTAGCTAGAAGTTTTAAATTGTGCACATCTCCCTTAGGTTGAATTTCATGGTCTTTCCCATCTACCGGTAACTTGAATGCTGTATTTTTGCATAAGCTGATATTTTCCTGACAATACTAATAGAAATGCTATGGGTTCTTCCTCTACCTACCCCAGCCCCCCAACATTATTTGAGCAATATCTTAGAGCGTCACTTACTTCTGATTTCTGATGTGCCTCTATCTAATTTTAGGCTGTTTCTACCAGTTTCTGGGCCTTGATGCTGACGATATCTGGAATTCAGCTTCACATGACTGGTTCTTTTTGCAGATAAAATGTCTGTGGTTTGACTGCATGGACTTCTCAGACCTATTCAGGAAAGGGCTTGTTTCTCTTTCTAATATTTACAGAAAAGCTGGATATAATATATGCTATTTTTGTTTTAAAAGGGGCATCAAGTACAGAGGTATGGTTTAAAGCTTAGAGAAATAAATGTGCAGTAAACAGATTAAATTTCCCAAAACCTTATTTTCAGGTGGGGAAATTGCTATTTTGGATTGATTCCTTTCTGGAGACTTCTGAAAGAGAAGTGGTTTCTTGGAAGGGGGATATATAGAGCATTTGAAGAGGTGGTTATTTCAGGAAAGCTAAATGATATCCAGATAGCTGTGTCAAGTCATTTTCCCCCTTACAGGCAATAATATCCTTGAGAATGGACTGTAGAAGTCTTATCTAGAGGCTTTGGTAGGAAGATTACCTGGGTTTATGTAGTGGTTTAAACCCAGTCAGGTAATTCGTTCGCTCACTTCCCCCCCTTTCTTGCCCTCCCCCTGCTCCCGGAGGGACGGAGAGGAGAATCGAAAAGAATGCAACTCCCACTGGTTGAGATAAGAACAGTTTAGTAACTAAGGTATAACACACATCACTACTGCTACCACCAGTAATAGTAATGATAAAGGAAATAACAAGGGAAGAGAATACAACACCTCAGCACCAGCTGACCGATAACTCGCCCCCCAAGCCTGACCAAGCTCCAGCCGATACCTCCTCCAACCCTGCAGTACCCCAGCCCTTCCGGCTCACTCCCAGTTACATCCTGGGCATGACGTGCTGTGGTATGGAATACCTCTTTGGTCAGTTTGGGTCAGGTGTCCTGTCTCTGCTTCCTCCCGGCCTCGCCTCCTCCCTGGCAGAGCATGAGGCTCACAAAGTCCTTGGCCAAACCAAAACATCGCTATCAGCTCTGTTCCCGAGCCGAAAGTCAAAACACTGCACTGCACCAGCTACCAAGGAGGAGAAACATGACTGGTACTGCTGAACCCAGGACAGTTTGGTACAACACTGTTAATGTGTCCTCTCTCCACTGGTGCAGATCCTGCAGCATGCCTCCCATGGAGCACAGTCAGTTGCTTTATCGCTGTCATGTACCTTCTGGTACCTCTTGTGCTGCTGTGTGAGGTCTGGCAGGGCTGAGCCACCCAGGTGCTGTAGCATGTGGAAATGCCAGTGTCCCGGCTGACTGGGTGGCATCACTGCTAAAGATGCTAGGCTCACAGCCTGAGCTCATGGTTGTGATGCAGAAAATCATCTGGGAGTAATTGAGGATGATTGTGGACTTCTCTAGCAAGAAGAGACTGGGCTTCAGTTTCTTACAGAAGAAAGAATGATCTGTAATAAAGTGTGTGTGTGTGGCCGTGCAATGGGGAGAAAACTGCTGGAACCAAATTACTGTACAGTGTCATCTGAGAAGTAGCTTCATGCAAAAGGCTGCTTTTAAGCAGCCAAGGGTGTGTTTGAGAGGTTTGACTACCAAGGTAGGACTGGACAGACCTCCCAGCACATCACATCAGCCCTTGTTAGTAGAGGTAGGCATGTCTCATGACCTCCATCATGAATCTGTCAGGCTCCATCTTGAGCAATATAAGCTTTTTGCCTTTTCTAATCCCACCATGAGACTCTTTTTTCCCCCAGAATTCAAATTGCATCTAAAGTGTGCAGTGATCTCCTTCCCAGGAGCTTGTGTGTAGTGAGTGGACAAGACCTCCAACAGATGAGTTCATGGGAGACTGGTTAAGAAACTGGAAGACTTCTGTTATATCTCTAGACCTAAATATGAAATCCCATGGGGCACCTAGCTCTTGCTTTTTTTTTTTCAACTGCCATGAAACACTATCTCCAGTCACTCTTGCAAAGCTCTTTTGTGATGTTTTGAGAATCTGTGAAATATCTTAACTTCATTAGAGGTTCTGCTTGGTTTGTTTGGACAGAAGTTTTATCATGTCTGACGCCGGGGTATTGCTTTTACCTCTAGAAGAAGCTATAGAGGTACCTCAAGCACCTGTGACATCACACAACTTGATCTTCCTACCTGCAAGCAGGCCTAAGCAAGCATGCACTGGCATCCTAGCACAGACATGTGCTAGTCACTCTGCATATGCCAGCCTGCTGCTCTGAGCAGAGATCATGGTCAAGCTTTCTCTTAACACTGTCAATTACAAAAAGGAGTGTAAGTAGGATCACTTGTAATTGGGTTACTTGCTGGTAAATAAAATAAAACCCAAGCCTTTTGGTCTGATTCCAAAATAAACACCAAAAATTTAACAAATCTCTTGACAATTACTTACTAAAGAGTACCTGGTAATAGCAGGCACCTGTTTTAAAGCCACCAAAAGAAAGTACTTGCCCACTGTTCACCTTTTCACATACAGAAAACCAAGTTGTAGAGCTTGTCCTTTAGAGAAATCAAGAGTTTGAATGGGTTAAAGTGCAGAATAGAGTGGAAAAAGGACCTGGGAAAGGCTAATAAATATGTTTATCTGGATGCAGCCTCTAGCTACAAAAATCCTTAGGTCACTCTGAATCTGGGAGGATCCAATGCTGGGGACAGATTGCTTTGAATGTGTCCTGTTCCTTCTGCTTTTCTTCTCCAACCTACCATTAGTGGCCACTGTCTGAGATGGATGGCATTGGAAGGGGGCTTTGGTCTGACCCAGAGTGGTTGTTACAAGTTTGTATAGCAGTTGTCTGCTGTGGGATTCCAGTGATTTACCAGGGCTTGAATGTGGGTTTTGCTGGCTAACTTTATAGACTTCTTGTGCCAGTTCACAGGAGTAAGTTGACTTTTGTCATAGCGTAATGCTGTTAAAAACAAACTTTGTATTCTAGGAAGTGGAATCCTGTCTTAACTTGGGAAAAAAAACCCCACCATATTATGCTGCACGTGCACTAGTAGCTGTCTGTTTCAGTCCAGTGATTGTATTGAAATGTCATAGAGCATATGATGTACATGTGACATTTGTGCTGTGCAGTAACACAGTGCTTCTTTTGCTTTTGTTTCCTGACTAGGGAAGAGGACAAGAACATTTTTGATTACTGCAGAGAAAACAACATTGACTATGTAACCAAAGCCATTCAATCAAAAAAAGTGGATGTGAATGCTGCAGATGAGGAGGTATGGAGAGAAAAAGATAATCATCTTTTAACTGTTTTGTGTGTTAATTCAGTGCCACTCCTTTACAAAATTCTCTGGTCTGTCTAGCTGCTGTAATATCTTGTTAAAACAAATACTTGGTCATTAAGACAGGGTTAATCTATTTGAAAATAGCTTTCAATTGTGTTTCTAGTAGTGTGGATGTGCTAACTGATGCTGTAGCATATCAGAAACTTACGTTCTATATTATCTTCAGCAATGCCAGCAGCTACTTGCAGGATAACATCTGCTGAATATCTCCCTTTTCTCAGCTTGTATATTAAATGTGATCAAATAGAAGCTGGATGTGAGGCAAATAGCTTTTTTGACTGATGAACTATTCACAGCTGAAGTAGTATTTCTGCCATGCCAACAGCATTTAATTGTTTCCAAGATGGGAGGACAAATGAGTGATACCAGCTTTCCAACTTCACAAAAACAGTGACATTGTCCAGGCTTTCTCTGCTCATCAAGCTCAAAACAATGTTTCCCCATAAGGGGGGTAATGCAGGCATTGTCAAAAACCTCAAGTAAATAAGGGTTTAAAATTGTCAATTAGCTTGATCTCTTTCTTAGTGAAAGTAGATACCTGGTGTGGACAGTTTATATCCTTCAGAAAATATAGTGGTATCAGCTTTATCATCTTGGTTTTGATGCATGCTGCCACCTAGCCCTGCTTGTGGTCCATGCTGCTTTTGCCTGCTGCTTTCCAACACATTGTGTTCTGGTGAACAGATGAAGTGCTTACGCATTCATAGACTGAGACGCCACAAATTCAGTTGGGTTCTGCAGTAGCACTAAGCAGATTTCTGCCCTCTGAGCCATGACAGCCCCGGCTGGGGCTCTGAATGCTGATGGCAGGGCCTTTTATTATTAATCAGGAATTCATATGAATTAATTTTCAGAGGAGAGGAGAAGAGAGATGGTGTTTATGATCGGGATTGGAATTTTGCATCATAAATTCAATGAACTGAAACTGTCATGTACCACATAGTCGCTGCAAGCGCCATTACTGAGCTTCATCCCTCCTTCTGCCGATCACAGGTTGCGGAAGTAAATGTCCAGGGCAGTTCCACAGAACATGACTGAATCCCTTTCATTAATAAAAGCTCATTTTTGGAGATCGCACACTTGCAATAACTATATAATAACATTATGTTAGCACTACTTCATTTCCACTGGCAAGATGCTCTTTTGTAGTTAGCAGTGTTCAGAAACTCATACCATCCTTTGTGTTCAAGCAGCAGATGTGCTTGTTCTCAGGCAAAATATTTACAAAAGAAAAAGTTGAAAGTTACAATATTTTTGTGTTCTAACAACATAAATGTTTTGAGTCAGACCTGAAGTCAGCCAAATGATGTCATCTTTGGGAATTATCCACAAGTTTCTAATATGAGAGAAGACCTACTTCTGAACTAATGGGTATTAGCACATGACTATTGCAGAGTATGCAATTGCTTCAGCACAGGTAAGAGCTGAAAAGCCTACCTACCTGTGAATGCCTCATGGGAAGGTTCCTACTGGTGCAGAATTCCCCTGTAGATGAAATTCTCACAGCCTCAGTGATTTCTGGCTTACCCCAGCAAATGCTTAACCGGGGAAGTAAGAAATTTTTATTTTTTTAAATCCAAACATAGTTTCCATAATCTGGAGGGTAGCTTATTTTCCAGCATTGTGCAGGTTGATTGAAGTTTTAGAACCCATTTTAGACTAGACATAACCCAGACTGAGCCGTTGGTAGAGTGAAGTGTATGCAAGCATAATCTTGTCATTCTTATTAACTGTTTTAGTGTTACTGTATAAATGCATCCTGCCATATCCAAAGATGCCTCTCCTAGCCCTCTGACCATAACTCACAGTGTCAATCCTTTGATTTAAATGCATATAAATTTAAAATGGCAGCAGGGACAGATACATGAAAGAGTTAACTTGTCAT